ATCGCCTCCTATTCACCGCCTTCATCACTTGACTCGTAGCTAGAGTCACTCGATGTTTCATCTGTTTCACTTCACTCCTCGCTTGAGTCCCTCATCACTAGACTCATCCTTTGATGCCTTAAATACATTGGTTCGTTTTGGATCTTCTCTCACATATTCGTCTTTCATCTTATCCATTAAAAGTTCGTGAGAATATAAAGAAGACCAAATGTGGGCGGTGCTTTCCGTTACATATTTGGGTAATAAGTCTACAATGCTATTTTGCCACTCTTCGGGCAAAGAAAGTAAAATTTTTGTATTTAATTCACTTACTTGTAGAATATTCTTCACCCAACTCACCCAACTTGTTCACAACCTCATTGAAACTCCTATTGGCATCTTGGATTGACTCGTGTCGGCTAACTCTGAGGCTTTCATATTCCGAGTTTTCAAGGGCCAACATAACATGGTTTGCTTCGTTGTGGTATCGCCTTTATGCGTGGCCTATGTAGCATAGAAACGGAGACGGGAACGGAGACGCCGAGACGGCTATTTTGAAAAAATGGGGAGACGAAACGCCGGGGAGACGGCATATATATATATATATATATATTACTCTTTCTATCCCACATAAATTTTTCTACGTGTGTAGTATTTTATTTGGATCATGTATATCTAATATTGAGAAAAAACTCAAGAATTGAATCTAAGGCCCACGTAGGGATAGAAGCCCAAATATTAGATCAGGGAAGTGGCTATATAATAAGCAAAGCAGGGAAAACAAAAAAACCCTAGCAAGCCGCCGCAAAAGAGAGATAATGATCGATATTCGATTCTGCGACTCTTTTCTTCTCTCTCTTTTTTTAAAATTTTCTTTTTTCCCACTTTCCTATTCAACTAGGTTGGATACATTCTCTTCTTTCTTTCTGATTATATCGTCTCCCGTGTCGTCCAAGCCGTTTCGGAAAAGGGAGACGCGTCTCCCCGGCGTCTCCCTGACTTCTCCCAGCATTTATTTAAATTTTAATTTAAGGAAACGCCAGCTGAAGTTTCCGAGACGTCTCCAGGCGTCTCCAACGCGTTTCCGCGTGTCCAAGGTCTCCGATACGGGTACGGCATGCTACCTGGCGTTTCCGTGCAACATAGTGCGTGGCTTGAAGCAAATCCCTTACCTTCTTGGCCGTTTTGCAAGAGCATACACATGCGAATTCATCGGGTCTAAGGGAGCGATGAAGGATGTTGATGGCTTTTGCATTTATGGATAATTTTCTTTTATCCTTCCATTCCTTCGAATATAATCTTGCACAATCACCACTGAAGTATGTTGACCAGTGAAGTATGTTCAGCCACAAATCAAAATCAATGGATTGTATAAAGTATTCAATCCACATTTTTCAATATGAATAATTTCGGACGTTGAAAAATAGAGGGCGGTGAAAGCTTAGAGATTTCATTCAGACTATTTTTCAAAATTTAAATTTTAAAAATCAGAGGTAAAACATATTGAAATTTTAAAATTCAATTTAAAATGGGAACAAGTGGATCTTTGTCGTAGATGCGGTTAAGCACATTCAACTACGAAACTGCTCCGATACCACTTGTTAGTCGATGTGCCAACGCCTTAGAGGAGGGGGTGAATAAGACATTGAAAAAGTTTTTGGAGTTTAATAAAATTGGTGTTGACAAATGCGGAAGCAATAAATAAAGCGCAGAAGTAAAAGCGTAAAGTAAAGACACCAATTTTAGACTGGTTCAGGATCTCCCTACTTCAGTACCTTAAAACTAATATCCTTAAGGATTTCCGAATCCACTTAGTCCCGATCTCTTGAACTCCGTCAAAGCACCGCACAAGTTTGGGAAACTACCCTTGCCAATAGGATTCAACCCTTGCCAATATTTTGAACCGCTCACAACAAAGATTTGCAGGCTATCGTCAACCTCTTTCCCTCAAGGATTTGCTAGAATGCTAGGCTATCCTTGAACCTTTACCTAAGGATTTCTCGGCTATGCTGTACCGTCTATACAAGGATTTATGTGGCTATCCCTGACCATTACAATGAGTGAAATATGTGTCTAAAAACATATAAAAATGTTCAACACCTTTTGGCCTATGATAAAGAAAAAGATCAATCCTTGACCGGTGAAGAACGAAGAGTATACTCTCGGAAACAATACAAGATCAACCTATTGAATATGAGAGTATATAGTTATATACGTATAATCACAAGCTCAAGGATTGTTAAAGTCAAGGCTCTAACCGTCTATACAAGGATTTATGTGGCTATCCCTGACCATTACAATGAGTGAAATATGTGTCTAAAAACACATAAAAATGTTCAACACCTTTTGGCCTATGATAAAGAAAAAGATCAATCCTTGACCGGTGAAGAACGAAGAGTATACTCTCGGAAACAATACAAGATCAACCTATTGAATATGAGAGTATATAGTTATATA